TTTATGAAATGGGTGTTAACTGATGCCACTGGTCAGAGCAGTGAGTGCATTGTCATTCTCACTGAAGGTAACAACTGATCATAGGTTCTCCATTAATGGGACAGAATGTATCTCTGCAAATATGAGAAAATAAGAATGGACAATTGCAGTTAATCAGTTCAGATTAGGCACATCAAGTAACAAAAAGATAAATAATTGCAAGATATGAATGTACACACTCCTCTGAGGGAAGATTGCAATTTGAGCATTTATTACATCTGCATTATTACTTAACAGACTGAAATAAATATTTGCTGGTGAGATTGACAGGCACAGGTTCCTGTATAGAAGTGCTGTTTCTTTTGGCATTGAGCTTCTATTATAGAGTCCTGCGCGCAAGCAGACAGCAAACCAATTGGACAGAATTTTGCTCTCATACTGTATCCAATCGTTGGTTTTCCGAGGACGTGAGAGTGATGTGTTACTACTTTTCGAACTGTTTGATAGTTTCTGAAATAAGACTGCCCCCTACTGCTCCAAATGATTTGTTCCATGCTCTCAACTTACCAAACGGGCATCAACTCTTATGGGTCTTCCCTAACTGCTTAGCAGATACAGATATCAACTCCTTGGTGCAGGAGCTTTGCTATGAAGCTATGAAGACCTCAAGGTTGTTTTTAACTAGCTGATCTCAGTTGTTGATGGGGTACCGCATTTAGCTTCAGCATGCCTGGGCTGGTCAAGGGGAGGGGAGGGGTGGGGTGTCAAATGGATCTCTTCCTCTCCTTCTTTGCCATCCAATGATCCTCTGCTTCCCAGCGCAAGTGCTTTGCATTTCTTACCAATGTCCAGACTCCCTGCCCAGACGCGCAAGACGTGTAAACAGTAGCCGTTTGAGAGATGGCCCCAGAAAGAGTCAACAGGCGCAACGGGGGAGGTGAGGAGACCATCGGCAAATACAACACCATAACAATCCTCCAACTGTGAAGTTGTTTTATTTGGTGGAAAGGAGATCAAGGGAGTCTTTGTTAAATGCGAAACTACTTGGCAAGTACTAAGTGCCTGCCTGTGAAACCCATAATAATAATCCTTACATTAATCCAGTCATTGGAACAATCTGCTCAAGAGGCCGACGCTATCTAAATCTCGTGATTATATATTTCATGTTCGAGCAGGAGTTTTGAAAATTTTTTGGTAACATGAAGCGTTGGCAGTGGCACCATTCTGATTTCAAGAGCCCACGTTGATAGATGTTTCAACTCAACAAATACAATCTGTGTTGAAAGTACGGCCGTAAAATGTAACTGATCACACTTCTTAACTCTTGTAAATGATCGCATGGCTTATCAGCATGACTCAGCAATTTTCCACTCTGCCCGATAGGGTGTAGCTTTGTATATGTTATATTGCTCTCTCCAAACCTGGAGACTGACCACCTACTCTTGTCTTCAAAACTTCATAGCCTGTTAGGTTTCAGTTATAAATTATATTAATATAAATAAACTTGCTAATCAATCAGAGAAGTTTCTGGAGTGACAATACTCGGAAAGTATTTTATGAGAAGTTTTTCCCATTTTACTACAGTGCTGCTGTCTGACTCCAGTTGACAGAGTAAGAGAAACATACACAACTCAAATTGTCTCCATTCGAATCAGGTTTATACATTCAACTTTTCTGTCTGGTTCAGGAATCATACGGGAGTGAACGGGAAGTGATCTGTTGGATTGGAATTTGTTTGGTTTAGAGTATGTGGATACTGCTGTACGTGGATTTTCTCTGTACAAACATTTGAGTATCTCTAAAATATTCTGAATTCAGGAGCTCACGTTGATAGATGTTTCAACTCAACAAATACAATCTGTGTTGAAAGTACGGCCGTAAAATGAAACTGTTCGTTTCAAATCCAACTGGAATGCCTCAAATAAGTTTGTCTCATTACAAATAATAAGATTTTTTGCCCCTCAATTATCCTTTTTACCCCACATCCGTGCCATGTCCCTCTCTGCCTTCCCCCACCTCCAGAACATCGCCAGGCTCTACCACTGTCTCACACCGCAGGCTGCAGAGACCCTCATACATCCAGGCTCGACTACGCAAACTCCTTGCTCGTCCGCCTTCCCAACTACTCCCTCCATAGGCTGCAGATCATCCAGAACTCTGCAGCCCGTGTTCTCTCCCGCACCAGGCTCCGCGACCTTGTCACCCCAGTCCTCGCCTGACTCATCACACAGAGGATACAATTCAAGATCCTGGTCCTCACCTTCAAAGCCCTCCACGGCCTCGCTCCACCTACCTCTGGGACCTTCTAAGCCCCTATCAACCTGCCCGCTCCCTCGGCTTATCGGGCTCCGTCCTGATTCACGTTCCCCGCCTCGCCCACCCCACCATTGGCGGGCGGGCCTTCTGCCATTCTGCCCCCACTCTCTGGAACACTATCAAGTAGTCCCTCCGCCTCGCCCCCTCCCTTGTCTCCGTCAAGACCCGTCTTAAGACTCTCCTCTTCGACCGTGCCTTCGGTCACCCTCCTTCTACTTACGCCCTCTACTTTCCCCAATCCCGACCTCCAGCTTGGGTCCGAAACACTGATTGTCCAGTGCCTTGGGAAGTCCTCCTGACATGAAAGGCAGTATACAAATGTAATTTTGTTGTAATGTTTCTTGCATTTGACTTAGCACGTTACTTATCACTTTGCCAAAGTCTCAGAGAGCTTAACAAGAATGATTGCAAAGTGTGGTGACTGTCCATGTGGCAGACAGATTTGCACACAGCAATGTCCCAGGAATAGCCATGAAGTGAAATGATTTTGTCGGGAGGATTTTTGACCAGGATGCTGGGAGAAACTCCTTTTTTTCGAACAGTGATCTTTAATGTTCACCTGACAGACAGGTGATGTCTCTCTTTAATGTCTCTGACAACGCAGTGCAGCTCCAGAGCTGTTTTGGAGTGTCAGCCTAGCCTGGGGCATGAATCCACAAACCTCTCACTCAGAGATGAGACTATTATCAACTAAGCCAGGTTGGCACTTCCTGATTAACTTTTGATCTTCTGATAAATGATAGCAAATTTTTCTTTTCCTTTGAAGACAATGTGGCAAGTTTCCATACTCCACACGCCTCTGTTTACCTAGCAGTAAATAAGAACCTGGTTGTTAGTGAATTGACTGATCGCTTTCCGGGCATAATAATCTTTCAAAAAAAATTGGTGACTCAATCCACGACTATTTGTGGGATAGTGCTGTGCGCACTTGGCTGCCATGTTTCGTCCACAAAATACACAATCAATCCACTTTACAGTATATATATTCTGTGAAGCGCTTTGAGACATCTCAATGACATGATAAGGTGCAATATCAAATGGAAGGATTATTATTATTATAATCATAAGTTTTACAAAGATCTCGGTTTGTGTTGTGAAGTTTTAAACTGTCACAAGGACAGCTATTCTATTTCTGGAATGTTGCATTTAGGAACTTTCCAACTCTGCGAATGAAAGGAACAAAACAGGAATTGGGTGTACAGCAATAACATCATCAACTGAGCTGATAGAGGTGAATAAGAACAACCTGGCATGGAAAATACTGTATGAATTAAGATAACAGGAGGTGTAGACTTGTGTTAAAAACAACAAGGCGCCAGTTACTATTGATGTAACTGCGCATTCTGTTTTTTTGGAACATGACCGGGAAAATGCAAAACATTTCCTATTTTGGAATTTATGCAATTTATTAATCATTGTCGGACAAGTAGGTTAATAATAGTAATCCTTGCATTTAATATAACGGCTTTCACATCGGGAGCCGTCTCAAAGCGCTTCACAGGATTTACTGTAAAGCCTTGTGACTGTGAATTTTCTAACTGAATGTGGTAACTGATTTGCGCAACAGCAACATCCTACAAACGGCCATAGAGTGAAAGACGAATTTTATCTCATGGGATTATTCCAGTACACAGGCAGAAACTGTCCTTTCTTTCGAATAGTGCTTTGGGATCTTCAACGTCCGCTTGAACAGGAAAGCGGTTTAATGTTGTTGGTTTAATGTCTTATTCAGAGGATGGCACTTCCAACAATGCAGCACTCCCCTGCTCCCCCAGGCACTGTGTTGGATTGACAGTACACACTGTGAGTTCAAAGTCCTGACATGGGGCTTGAACCCATGAACCCCTTACTCAGAGGCGAGAGTGCAACTGATTGAGCCAGACTGACATCCCTGTATGCCGCACAAGCAATTATCAAAGCACATTTGTGCACTGATTGGATTTTCATTTGTTTGCTTGGGTTGTGTGAAGTTGGTGTTAACATTTAAGAAAACAGCATTTTGTCTTTAATACATACCTTGTGAATTCAAACTGACTAGTTTTGAGGTTGCTATAGTCATATTTCAGTAGCATGTGAAAAAGCACTAAATAAACATAGTGATACATCCCTTTAATATTACTTTACGAGCAATAAATGGCTCTTTGATGTGTACGGTTGAGAAAGTGGATTTATAATTTCAGTTTTAAGGCCGTTTCCTGTTATAGTTTGGCAGAGACCGAATTTGTGGTTGATGCATTGCATTCCTTTTAATCACTTTAGTCACAATTATCCATTGAATCATTTTACAATGTAAGTGTTGTAAAATTCCTTGTGCTAAATCGATTTGCTGATCCTTTCTGACCTGATGGCTACCTATGTAGGGATTCTGCTTGCTCCTGGTGAATGTGTTGGTAGTGGATGGTTTCTTATCTGACCTTTCCTGGTCAGGTTATAATAATAATAATAATTCTTGCATTTTGATATAGCGCTTTTCACGTCAGGAGAACGTCCCAAAGCGCTTCACAGAATATACTGTAAAGTGAATTGACTGTATATTTGTGGGCGAACAAATATCAGTCAGGTGATGATGCTTAGTTTGTCTCAACGCTGACTGACTCTCTGACTGTATTTATGGTTGATCCTGTCTGTGTGTGTGCTTGAAAACTGTGGAAGCATTAAATTGCAAAGAAATTCATTAAGCTGCTTCTGCTTATTTTTCTTCACAGCAAAGGAAATCGTACTTGGAACGCAGTGTGAAAGACGCAGAAGACAATATCAGAGAAATGCTATCAGCGAGAAGAGGACAATAACAGTTTTCACTATCAGTGAAACTTAAACAAAATATTTTACTGTAAAATTGTGGCTTTACAAGAGCACATTGTTCCACTCTGAATCCAGCTACATTTTTCTTACAATCTCTGCTTACGTTCTCATTCTTTTGTTCAACTGTTTGGTATTTTCAGAAACACCTTATTTTGGCTTCTGTGGAAAACATAAATAAGCAGTAAGATTTAAGTTTTTTTTGGTACAGTATTTAACACTGAAATGTCAGTCTGTGTGTGTCTGAATTTCAGTTTTTTTTTTCGCGACTACTTTTAATTACCCCAAGTCTATCACACGTCAACTCTAATGTCCTAAAATCTGGCACACATTTGTTTCATATTGGGATGTGTATTTATGAATACTTGGTATTTTTTACTTTGAGAACAATTGTTGTATTATTTGTGGTAGATTCAATGAAATGTACCCCCCCCCCCCCCCCCCCACACACACACCCTTACCCTTTGTTTTGAAAATAAAATGCATAAAACTGTTGAGAAGATGTTTTGATGCCAAGTATTTAGCCTCGTAATTCTAAACGCAAGGACTATGGTAATTCTGCATTGCTTTAATTCTTTGAATGTAACATATTGTTTGCTTGTGTTGTCTTGACGCCATATCCTGTCCTCCAGCCAGTAGTCCTATTTAACCCACGTCACGTTTGTGGGCCATCAATGCCATTTTGTATCTGCCAGTGGATGCATTGAGCAGGGTTAAATGCTGAGTCTCCTCTGAGCACGTTGCTGAGCTCTGGTAACCAGAGAGTGCCCCCTCTCGTGGCCTGACAGAGCTGAGAACTGGCCCATCGTTGCATGAAATGTCACAAGCAAGAGGCTGGTGGTAACTGAGCTCTGCTCCTGCTGTGCGTGAGAATCCAGTGTCTCACTACTCGAAGCCATTGGACTGCTAAGAAAAGACATTGCTGCAGATTTAAATAGTTGCGGTGCAGTCATGCTAATGAAACTCGAATAGCTTTTGAATGAGTCTGTTAATATCTTTTGAAACTGTTTTCTAGAGGAGGTGTAAAAGGAAATTCCTTTTTGCTGTGATAACTTGATAATGCTGTGTGAAGTCTTCCGCAAAGTAATTCTTTTGATAGGTTTTTATGAGCAGTGATCTGACGCGAGTTGTGGAGTTATAGAAACTAAGGTTACCATTTGCAGGATAGAAACAATCCCACGCTTCACTTATTCTGATCTCTTCTGGCAACGCAATAACAGTAGCTCGGTGTTTTGGTAACCAGTAAACTTGAGCCTTTTGTGCACAACTGATAACATCAGCCTGGCTCAGTTGGTAGCACTCTCACCCGTGAGTCATTACGTTATTGCCCATTGTTGAGGACTTTGAGCTCACTAGTCCTGGCTGAATGAGCAGTTTTGGGAGAGTGCTGCGTTGTTGGAGGGTTCTTCAGATTAGATGTTCAGCTGCACTTCTACCTCCCTATTCAGGTGGAAGTTCATGTGACCTGGTTTGGGCTTCGTCTTTTTCTAATGACCGAGTCCCGTTGCACAGCATTAGTCTCATGTTGGCACTCATAGGAACCTAAACATGCTGATCTGTGTTAGGTGTTTGAGGAGAAAGAACTTTGAACTTGGTCTAGGCTGACAGTCAACAACAATACCAACTTGCATTTATATCGCGCCCTTTACGTGGGGTTGAGCCCCAGAGTGCTTCACAGTGGGGGAGTCTGACAACGAGCCAAGGGGAGCGGGAGAGGGGAGGTGACCGTAAGTACGATCAAAAATGAGGGTCTTTAGACTGGATTTGAAGGTGGGGGCAAGGCAGAGGGATTGAGGGAGAGAGTTCCAGAGTTTCGGGGCATAGTGGCTGAAGGAACGACCACCGATGGTGGAGTGGAGGAGACAAGGGCCAAACAGGAGGCCAGAGCCAGCCAAGCGGAGGCAGTGGGTGGTGGAGTGAGGGATAAGGAGGTCGGATAGGTAGCGAGGTATGAGGGAGTGAAGTCATTTGAAAACGAGTGAGAGGGTCTTGAAATTGATACATTCGATGATTGGGAGCCAGTTGAGCCCGGCAAGGCCTTGGGACGTCCTCCCGACGTGAAAGGCGCTCTATAAATGCAATCTTGTTGTTGATGGGGGGACGGAGTTTAGTGCAGGTGAGTATCCGGGCGGCGCAGTTTTCAATTGGTTGGATTTTGTGTGCGGTGGAGATGGGGAGAGCAGTGAAGAGGGCATTGGAATAGTCCAGCCGGGAAGTGAAGATGTGGACGAGGATTTCAGCTGCGCCAGTTGTGAGGTAATGTGGCAATGTGAGGCAATATGGCGGAGCTGGAAAAAAAGTCCAGTGCAATGCTGGGGATGTGCAGCATTGTTGGGAGTTGTAATCTTTTGGATGAAGCATTTATCTCAAACCAGGTTGAAGTCCTTCAGTGGGCAGTAGTGTTAGCAGGGTCCAGAATCGGTTTATTGTCATTAGTTTGCGTAAAGTGAAGTTCTGCTTTTATGCAGTATCTCCCTGAAAGGTTTGTGTTTGGAGCCCTCGTGTGGCAATGGAAAGTAACTGCCGTTAAAAGGTTCACCACATTTAGCGATTTTACAGAAGTTTGGGTTTGTACATCAATGGTAAGCTATGTGGGTTTAGCTGGTTAGACTCCTGTAGTTACCCCAACACACACTGTGGGGTCCCCAAGCCTTGGCTCTTGCCAACCTGTGCTTAATACTTTCCAGAATTAGGTAAGCAGGATGTGGCCCTCCAGGGAGAGAATGCGGATTCCATTCCAGCAATCTATCTCTGTGATTTCCATGTGTAGGTGGAATTCATGGAATTCTCAGCTTGGTTTGGACACTCTTAAGCACGGTGATGGGTTTCCACATGTTTCAAACACTCAGCTGACCAAAAAACAAAATACTTCAGGGATGTAAACCTGTCGATTTACATTTTAAGCCGGTATGCAAGTTATTCCATTAATACTGTACTGGTGTGCAGTTTTGTTTTTAATTCCTTCAACTACAGTTCTGAAGCAAACAAATGTTTGCAAAGTCTAAATTATTCCTAACTTAGTACACTACTTCTGAAGCTAAAGTGTAGTTTTTCCACAATGTTGTTTCGTTAAAAAGATCAGAAAACTCACCCAACTCTTACTGACCGATCTTGTGATCTTGTGAGTGCAGTGGTTGATCAAATACGTCTGGAGTTGGAAATGGTATTAATTTCAGGAACAGTAGTGGGTGGCTGATAAAATAATAATGATCCTTGCATTTGATATAGCACCTAATCATGTCATTGAGACGTCTCAAAGCACTTCACAGAATGTATTGTAAAGTGGAGTGACTGTGCATTTTGTGCAAAGTAGAGAGCTGCTTTTTGTGGAAACCAGAATCTGATATTCATCTTCCAAAAAAGGTTGGATTTAAAAGACTGCAAAATATTTGGGGCTGTAATCATGACCATCGTTTGGCAAAGCAGATCGGTCCCTTTTGAACATCAAACACAGAACGTGGTTATTCAAATTGCCTGTGAACCAAAATAAGGATTGAAATTCTATCATCAGCAGCTGTCATACTCTGCAGATACAGCTATGTACACGGCCCATAGTAACTGGAAGCTCCAGCACTTTACTCTTCCATGTTAGGCTGGGAATAGACAACCATTTGAGCTGTTTACAAACAGAGTGGGATAGGACCACAGGGTCTAATATTTAGTCTGCTTTTGACGAATCACCAGAAGGTGACTTTGTACAGACCAGCAAGCTCTAAATAAATGGCAAGCAATGAATTTAGGAATGTGAATCAGAGCCATGTGGATACTTTTACACAATCTCTAAATGATACGCTCAACAGCTTGCATTTATATAGCGCCCCTCACACAAGGTAGCGTCTCAAAGTGCTCTAGCTTAATTTGTGGTTAAATAGCTGCGGGTATGTGTGAAATCTTGAACTTTTAGTCTAATTATTGTATTATTATTATAGGATTATTATTAGAAACAAGTGCAAGAGTGGGATTCGGCAAGGTGGAGAAAAACACAGCCTAATTGTGAATGGCCTAATTGTGTGTGCAATATTTTTGGATATTACCAACCTCAGAGTAGAAATAAGAGGGTTCGTTGAGGCAATTGCAGTTTTATCCAGCTAGGACTTGTTACATGTCAAGCTCAGTAGACCTAAATGTTAGTATGAGCGGGTCCTGATATGCACACTTGACCATTTTAAATGTGATCAGCCTCCCTGTATACTGTTGTGTTTGCTGACTGCACCATGTCATGGCTTTAGCAGTGCATGTGTACGAGTCCGCATCAACCAGTCCCAAAATAGCAGCACGTGGGTTTGCTCAGTGAGGACGCTGCTCAACCAGCTCCTATTGAGGGCAGCCGGTTGCCTCTTTCTGACAGGTGTTAGTGTTGGCACTCATGGCCCACTGTGCACTTCGCACCAGATCATTTTCTCACGAGTTGCTGTAAATACAAAGGTCTAATTGAATGAAAAATCAGGCTTTACTGAGCAACTAGAGTGAAGGATTTTTTTTTGATAGGGTTTTTTCTCTGTCCCCCAAACCCTCCGCCTTGCCACCTCCTTCCCCTTCTTTCAGATCATGACTGAACACCTTCCTCTTCAACCATGCTTACGGTCCCTTCCCCCGGCTCAGTGTTAAGCTCCGCCAGTTAAGTGCTCCAAGACACTGCTCCTCATGAAGGGTGCTGTATAAGTGCAAGTTTTTGTTTTAAGAATCTGCAAGTTACCCTGACATTAAACCCAATTAATTATTAAATACCTGACCTGCACAGCATTCCATGTGGCTGTTCTCTTCATCCCCCCTATCAGTGCGGTTTACATAAAGTACTAGATCTAATCAGCCTTCACGCAATGTGTCCCTCAATATTGCAGCCACAAACGCACTGTGTTTTATTAATTAAAATGACCATTGATATTAACAATGCAGATGGTGCACTTTTAAAATAAAATTGGCATAAGAGGAGGATGCAAAATTATATTTGAACGCACATATCTGGTTTCTGTCCATCACTGAAATTTGATTGAATTTGAGGGAAATGAATAGCAGATCCATTAACAAGACCGGTAGCATCCTTAAATTCAATGCAACTTTGACTTCATATGCTGAACGACTGCTCAGTTGGACACAGTCCATATATATGGATACATAGACACAACACATTGTATTCAACACATGATGGTTTGAAAAAAATTATTTAATGCATAATATACAAAGTAAACTAAACCATGGCGATTCTATTTTTACTTTACATTTGCTATTTCTAGGAATGCAAGGTTTCTGTTAGAAATGAGCATCTTGAAATCGTTTTAACTTACAAGACAAAAGCAGAAAAATCACTACCACCGCTTACTTCCATAAATATCAAATTGACTTATATTTTTTGTGTGGAAGTTAACTTATTAAAAGGCTTTCCTTCCATAAATTGACATTTACTCTTTTATTTAGGCAGACCATTACATGAGATTGTAGGCACACCAACAGCACATTGTCATTCCGACGACCGCTAAACTAATGTCATTATGTGACGGGCAGAACCAAGGATCATTAACAGGCTTTTATTCAGCACTTTGATTTGAGCGCCCAGTAGCTGAGATGTCTGGCTTGTGGCGAATTTCCATATAGCGGAGATTTTAGGTCAACATATCCCAAAGGCAACAGCAGCACAATGCAGTCCAACATGCTGTTAAACATGCAGAACTATCGTCGTTTCTCCTTTGATCCTGTACAACATAAACTGTAAGAAAAAATGTACAGGTCAGAAGATGGAGGGAGCAAAAATACCCTTTTCTTGCCTTAAATGTTTTATTAATAATAATCCCTGCATTTGATATAGCACCTTATCACATAAGTGAGACGCCTCAAAGCGCTTCACAGAATATATGTGAAGCGGATTGACTATTTATGGGTGAAACACAGCAGCCAATTGCGCACAGAATGAATTAAAATTGGCATCTTTAAATTTGATCTGTATTTAAAAGATTGCAATATTTGTATTCAGCAATTTATTATATTCATAATACTGTACATAGTTATTATACTTCACAATAAAATCTTTTCATAAAGTGTTACACCAAATGCATGGATTATATTAATACTTGCAATTGATACAGCGCCTTTTCACGTTGTTGAGACGTCTCAAAGCGCTTTATAGAAATATTGTAAACTGGATTGATTGTATATTTTGTGAGCAAAACATGGCAGCCAATTGCGCACAGCAATATCCCACAAACAGCCATGGATTGAGGCATGACCAATTTTTTTTTAATGTTACCCCCGAAAAGTGTTCCATCAGTCGACTAATACAAGTTTGCTTAAACTACAGGCTTCCTGAACTGTTCAATGACATTCTATTTTCTGAAGGTTAGCCCCGGGGAAGGAAAAAGTTTCTATTTTTTGCACTCAGTATTGACAAAAAGCACTTCTAGGTCACCTGATGTGAAGCCACTCTCCCCACTGAAAGCAGAGTGAGGAAACACAGCAACTGATTAGCAACAACGATGTATAAAGAGCACACATGATAGATACCTGGTTTGTGCTGAATTAAGCAATCTGAAGCAGAGTATTAATAGGAAGGCGAGAATTGGCCTTGGGGTTTCCTGGCAAGGAAAGGGGTGAACAGGAACTCTGCATCTGTTAAAAGCCAACAAGCCTTGGTTCTTGCCAATCTCTGCCTAATACTGTCTGGAATTAGGTAAGCAGAATGCATCGCTCCAGGGAGAGAGTGCGCATTCCCTTACAGCAATCTATGACTGGAATTTCCATGTGTACGTGGGATGCGCATGAAATTCTCATGCAGTTTGGTTTGGATACTCTTTAAGCACAGTGATGGGTTTCTTCATGTGTCAAGACACCTGGCTCACCCGCAAAAAATGTTCAGGTCTGGTTTAATTTTTTAAAACTGGCCACACCTGAATGTGGGTGGGGCAGACACAGGAGCAGAAAATGGTGGGGTGGGGGATGAAGAGAGAAAGCAAAAGGATGCAGCCAAGCAGATGTCTATTTTTAATACAAAGAAGTCTATGACCTCTTCGCACTTGGCATCTGAGATAACAATGATTAATTTGTCGTTCGTCTCATCACTGTCATAAGGCTTCGCTGCCACCAACTTAATTGGTCCCTTTCTCTGCATAAGTCTGTACACTTCAAAAAGTATCTTGTTATATGGCAAGCCATGTTCTGACACAATGTTTTTATTAATGTTGATATCATAAATGTACTTCAATAAAATGCATCATTCCATATTACTCAACCTCCTACTCAACAAGAGCAGATTGAAGTATTTTTAATGTACAACTGTGTTTATATGCTTATTTGTATTCCTGCAAATAGCCTCATGGGCTAGCTCGTGAAGCAAGCTATATCATGCTGAAGCAGGCCGCTGTCCGCCGAGCGGAAGGAGGTTATGAGGTCAGAGATGTGGGGGGAGCAAGACCGTGGAGGGCCTTGAAGGTAAGAACGAGGGTTTTGTACTCGATTCTCTGAGGAATGGTGAGCCAGTGAAACCGGACAAAAACGGGGATGATAAGTTCCCAGAGACTGTTGCAAGAGAGGACCTGAGCTGCAGAGTTCTGAATAATCTGCAGCTTGTGGAGGGAAGAGTTGGGAAGTCCAGTGAGTGGGCAGTTGGCGTAGTCAAGCCCGGATGTAATTAAAGTGTGAATCAGGGTCTGGGCGGCCTGCGGTGAGAGGCAGTGGTGGAGATGGGCAATGTTGCGGAGGTGTGTGAAGGCGGAACGGGTCATGTAGGTGTGCGGTCTGAAGGATAGCAAAAAAGAACACCGATGTTTCGGATTGGCTCAGTGAGGTGAAGAGTGCAGCCACGAATAGTGATAATGTCAACGGTTGAGGTGAGGGGGCACTGCCGAGAGCCAAACAGGAAGGCCTCTGTCTTGCCAACATTGAGCTGGAGGAAATTGGCTGTCGTCCAGGACTTGATGTCAGACAATTAGCCAGGACATCAACGGTCCTGGAGTCAAGGGTGGAGACGGCGAGATAGAGTTGACTGTCATCCGCATACGTGTGGAAATTAACCCCATGCCTGTGGATGACATTGCTGAACGAGAGCATGTATAGATTGAAGAGGAGGGAACCGAGGACAGTGCCCTGAGGGACGCCACATGTGACAGTGCGAGGGCTAGAGGAGAAACCGTTGGTGGCCATGAAGTGCAGATGGTGGGAAAGGTAGGATCGGAACAAGGCAAAAACAGAACTATTGAGGTAGAGACGAGAGGAAAGGCGGTGGAGTAGTCAACAGTGCGCAATTGGCTGCTGCGTTACACCTACAAAATATACAGTCAATCCACTTTACAATATATTCTGTGAAGCGCTTTGAGACAACAGATTACATTTGTATAGTGCCTTTCACGTCCTGAGGTGCTGGATGTCTCAACAATGTGATAAGGCGCTTTATCAGATGCAAGGATTATTATTATAATATCTCAAGAACAATTTTAATTCGAGACTACATTTGGCCTTTTAGTGGCTTCACATATGTTGAAACCAAGATCACAATTTTTAATGAGATGCAGTGAGCAACAGCAGCTGCTGACGTGAAGCCAATAGTGGAAAATATTGTGTTTACACATGCACGAGATGATTATAAATCCATCTCGTGCATAATTTAACCTGTGACACTATTGGAATAAGACAAAGGTCATTCAGTGGGATTAAAGGCAGAAAGACTGCAAGTGGAAACAACAACAAAATGGGATCCAAAAAGACCAAGCACCCTGCAGCTGGTAAATAAGATGCTGTTTTTAAATACATGTTTAGAGCAGCTAATGTTACTTAATTGTGTAATGCTGTTGAATTATAGAACGCGTATCATCTTTCCTTCATTACACATTCAAACTATGCGCATGCATAGTAATAGCATTTTACCCTAGACTTTAATGGCGCTACCTGGAAAACACAGGTCAGGTGTTGTAAAGGTAACTGCTCACCTTTAAAATGGGGGGGGGGGGGGAATTCAAACAACAGAACAGATGTTAATTATTAGCCAGGATTAGTTAAAGTAAAATGTAACTTCTCCAGTGCAATTGGGAATCCTTAGAGCAAACATCCTGGTTACGTTTCTCAGAGGATCAAATTCTGAACACATTTACTGCACATGTCTGCAGATCGAGAACTATTTCTGCTAGGAGCATCACTGAAGCCTTTTATTTATTTTTTAAAAAAGGGAGAGACCCAGAAATAAAACCCACGCTTAGCCAGTTTACCTTATTGGCTGAAAAATAATTTGTCCAGTGGAGCAGGGCATGTGAGCAAGCACTGAACCTGCACAGGGGGAGATGCGGAAATCAATATATTCCCTGTAATTATCACCTGACCTAGTATTTTAAATATGGAGGGCAAAATAGTCGCTCTGTGGCTCCTGTGCTTGACCAATGCCTCCTAGGAGCCAGTGATAAATCGGTGTCGGCTGGTGCTGGCAGGACTCAGTGTTCTGATCTGACCTCCAAGCGTAGAGCAGTTATGTGGTGGCCAGTAGCTAGCAGGAAAGGAAGATAATTTGGAAGAAACATAAGACAGGAGATGTACTTTCATCCCAGAGAGAGAGAGAGAGAGATTTTCAGTTTATCCACGCCTTTCCTGCAAGGTGTAGACTTCTGGGTTGATGATGTTTTGGCAAGAGGCAACATAAACCTCTCAAATCATGAACGAGTGCATTTATGTATAGAATGGTTGGAGCTGAAAGAAATGAACGAGATGGAAAACTTTCAAAATGGACTAGGTCAGGGGTACTTGCTGTTTTCAAAGCAAAAGAAAAGATTAATTTGCTTAGCGTTATAAGAGCATTGTACTTTTAATTGTTAGCCTTTTATTCAAATGACCTCAGTTTCCCAAAATTGTTTCAATCAGATTTCAGTTGAGAAATCTATACATACACACAAGGGGAGGAGGGTAGAGTGGGTGATCAAGCTGAGATCAGATGGGATGTACAGCCTTCCCCAGCCAACCAATCTTGTGATAAACCAGAAGAGGACAGAGTTCACCAGTACCGAAAACATAAGATTTACAGTTCAGATAAGTTCATGATAATGGTAAAAACAAATCGATATTAACATTAGCAAAGACTTGTCCAGTAAGAGTCTGCAATTCTGATCATAGATAACTTTAACCAGAAAGCTTTATGCAGAACACACTGGGAAAGAGTTAATGTCTGCATGAATATAACATGGGGAAACACTCTTCTCACCTTACTTAGAACTTTATTACGTTATTTTACAATTTAATTTGTAGGAGGTGGGAGAGAGATCTCAAGAAATTCCCAGAATGGGAAAAAGTTTCACTTTAAAAAAATCCTGAAATTTTACATTCGAATCACTTGAGATTCATGTTATTCAGAAGCTCGACTGGATTCTATTTATAATGCTGCATAAGTGAACTTTGTGCTACGTTTTCATCATTCTCCAGTAACTAATAATTAACCATTTTAATATTTATCTGCATTTCCAGTTTATAGTTAGCACGTTATCTCACCCTGGCACAGTCACTGATCAAAGTATAAAACTGTCTATAAACCAGTATATTTGTACTTTTGGGGGGAATAGGAAAGCAAGTAAAGATCCTGATTAAACAAGAATTACAAACACAGAACAAACAACAACTTGCATTTATGTAATTACTAGCTGTACACGTTGTAGTTTCGCTTGCAACCAACGGATTCATAATGGAATGTCGATTGACAGACAGATATTTTGTCTTTATATTCAGCTAGAAGGACTCCTTTTG